TGAATTTCGGTGAGGTGTTGCAACAAATTTTTTTTTCAATTTTTCCAATTCTAGTAAGAAAATTATTTAATATTGTGTTGAAAAAATTTTTTTGTAGTGTTCAACATGGAGCAGAAAAGGTTTTTAATACACCATCAGATGCTTCAGAAACTACACTAATATTTAGTGGGTTTGTGACTGCAGCGATTATTATAGCACAGATTATTGTATTCACTATTATTATTGTGTGCCTGTTTAAGCATGGACATGTAAAGGTTTGTTTGATTTGGAGGATTCTAGGTTCTTTACCATTTAAAAAGTTTCTTTTGAATGACCAATAATAATAATAATAATTATTATTATTATTATTATAAAATAGATTCTAATAGGATTTTTTATGGTGGTGGTTCTATTTCTTCTTGCTTTTATGGGTTATATTTTAATATCGTAAGTTTTAATATTATAAATTTTTAAAAGATATTAAATCATGACTTGAATTTTAATTGCAAATTTTTTATTTTATTTATAAAATAAAAACAGGAGTATAATTACAGTTTTTTTCATACCATTAGATTATATTACATTGTCATTTTTATTATGGAATTTTGCAGTAGTGGGTTTAATATCTGTTTTTTGGAAAGGTCCTTTGTTACTTCAACAAATTTATTTGACCATCATGTCAAGTTTAATGGTAATGTATATTATTATTTTGGTATTATTTTTATTTTTATTGTTAATAATATTACAATAATAATTGATTTTATTGTTATATCAAAAAACAATTTTAATTTTAGGCATTTTCATTGACAAGTTTATCAGAATGGGCAACATGGATTTTATTAGGATTACTTGCAATTTGGGGTAAATCAATCACTTTTGTGATGATATTCTTTATTCCTTGCATATTATTTATTAATTATAGTTGTTATTGATTAGATTTAATTGCTGTGCTGTGTCCATTTGGTCCTTTGCGTATGTTGATTGAAAGTTCAAAAAATGATGAACGAGAAATCCCTGCACTATTATATTCTGGTATCAATCATCATTATCAACTATATTGCTATTATTTTACCATAATAACTACTAATACATCTTATACCTATATGAATGTTAATAATTACAGTTAATGCTGTTTGGTTTATGGCATCTCCAGGACTTTCTAACCAGATTAACTTGACTTCGTCACCCTCAAGAACATCATTATCAACACCAAAAATAAAAATGAAGAGTTCAATAGCGTCATTAAGAGATTCATTAGCATCAACATCATCATCATTTCAAACAAGAAATGCACCTAGTTCAGTTGGTGGTGAAGAAATTCCATTATCTGAAAATATAAGGTATAATAATAATGAAAACCCTCATTTAAATTCAAATGATGATGGCAACAATTCACAACCATCATCAATATCACCACCACAACCGCCTCCAGGGCAACAAATAAATCAGGTGGTAGTAAGTGATAATGAAGGTACTGATGACAAAGACGATGAAGGTAATAAAAGGTTAAATTATCCTTGGATCTAAATAAATTAATTAATTAAAAATGAATTTTTAGATCAAAAAAGCGGACTTAAATTAGGTTTAGGTGATTTCGTATTTTATAGCGTTTTAGTTGCAAGAGCTGGTAAATTTTTATATTTATGATTGGACTATATTATTGATTAATTGAAACAAATGATATGAATGAATTTTATTTATATATACACACACACACACACACACACATATATACTGTATAATAATGAATTTTAGCAATGAGTGATTGGATCACCACAATAACTTGTTCAGTTGCTGTGCTTACCGTAATTATCTAATTATCCAAATTAATATTTTTATATTCAATAATGATCTTAATAAAATTTTATATATATTTATTTTAGGGACTTAATACAACAATATTTTTGTTATCGATTTATAAAAAAGCACTTCCAGCATTACCAATATCGATTACATTTGGAATGATCTTTTTTTTTGTTGGAAAATTTGTTCTAGTTCCGTATTTACAAAATCTTGGAATTCAATTGATTGCAGTCTAAAAGAATTAGATTATTATTTGTTTAATTAATTGGTTTTGTTTTATATAGAAAAAATTAATGTAATTATTTATAAAATAGAAATCAAATTCAAGATATTTAAATCATAAATCACGTAAACTTTTGACTTAAATACAAAAAAATTTTTCTTGCCAATAATTTCAACTTTGAGGAGCTATTAAGATACTAGTTATGCCACACCATTTGGTGTCCAATCCCTAGTATCAATGATAACATCGTTTTTACACACATGCATCATTTTCAATGAATGATGGTAGAGTCCGCCAATGCATCTTTGAACATTTTTATAGCGAGGATTATTGACACACCCGCTCTAGAAATGACATAAGTGACTAATCTTGTGTCAATTTATTTAAGACCTTGTCTGCAGGCTTAAAGAACAAGGCTATCCTGCCTTTTATCAAGAACTATTGTCAGAGTGTGACTAATATGTGTAGTTGAAGTCACTGCAAAAACAGTTTGCTGATAAATATGTAGGTTGTTACCTGTACTCAGATAAACTCCTTACTCTTCTTTGAACGTAAAAGCAGCTCTGTGCGATCCTTAAGGGTGTCTCTAGGTGTAGAACAGATATAATTTTTTATTTGCACGTGATCACATAAAACATGTTGCTTGTCTTTTGATTTTACACTCCCATTTTCTCCCACTTGCCTCACATGCTTTACACATAGCATATACAAGGTGCACTATATTTTCTGGTTTCTCTGCTAAATCATTCTCTTCACAAAAATACAAATATCTTTATTTTTGAAGTATTTGAGATCCACATGTCAAATTTACTTTAACAAGTACAATATCATAATTTCCAAATCTTGTTGCTCTTTTTCAGTCAATGCATTTTTGCTAAAAACACAACATGACTTTTTGCATGATTTACACCAGATAAAAATCACAAATTTGGTCAGAAACAAACATCCCTTGAGGTGCATATTCTTTTTTATCTTTTCTAGATTGCTTGCTTGGATGATCTTTTTCAATAGTATTGTGCTCTTAAAGTCCCGAAAATGGTCAGAATCTATAAATTTATTTATTAATGTTAATAGATTATTTAATCCATGGTTGTGCAATTTTGCTTTGCGAGAAGAATCTTCGTATAATTGAGTTTGTTGTGGCATACACCTGTACGAGAAATTTTAGCAGTGTATGTACGTATATGTATAATTTTCCGCGGTGATTTTGTAAAATCCTATAATAATAACAATAATATTAGGCCAATGATCATATTACTTGTTACTATTACTATAATTAAACGGATTACCAGGTTGAATGGTATTTAAATGTGATTTCTAAATTTTTTTTTCTATTATTAATAATGAAATAAAAAAATTACTTCTACATTCTTTTTTAATTATATTATCAATTCAAATTAATTAATAGTATGGTGCGGGTCACTCTAACACATCAAATAACTTTAAAGTTAAATGAGGAAATATTGAATGCTTGTCTGAAAAAAAAATAGACGATATTTGATAGCTATTGACTATTCTACAATCCATTCAGATAAACTTTAAATGTCAAATTTGGAAATTTTTACATGTAACATAAAACCACACGGTTTTTTAAAAGCACATAACTCTGAAACCAGTATTTTTTTTTAATTATCTCTACGATGGATGTAGAACTAGTCAATAACTATCAAATATTGTCTATTTTTTTCAGATAAGCATTCAATATTTCCCTATCTAGCTTTAAAGTTGATCAATTTTTATTTGGATGTGTTGGTGTGACACTATAGTAATCATATCTTCAAACATATACAGTAGTTAATTCCACAATACAGTCAAACATTTCACGGCGGACCTCACCACAACTTCAGGTGAGCACAATGATCAGTGCCTATGGATTACCCCAAATCTTTTACACTTTGACTATGACTGAAGGCAAATGGCCTCACTTGCATCATATCTTGAGCTGTACTGACAATGGAGACGCTTTACCAAGTAATCATCCGTTGCACACATACCTGCACTATCGAAATAGGTTAACAAACATCAGAAATAAATTATGGAAGAATCCTGAATTAGTAAAATGGGGAAAATGGGAACATTACTTTGAAAGGGATGAGTCCCAAAATTGTGGGACAATTCACACACATGGCTTTGCTTACACAGAAAGAAAGACAAGTGAATTGATCTCTTTGAATACAATCCATGCTAATATCCCTGACCCTGTTACAGAAAAAGGAATTACATGAATTGATCACTAAATTTCAAATACACCATTGTAATCAAATGTGTGGAGGTCAAGGGCCAAATGGAGAGCCATGCTACAAAGGATCTTTTATTAATAAGCAGAAGGCCTTTGATATTCTGTGCAAGAGAATAACAAATATTAATGGTGACAGTACAGTTGTTGCATTTGGTGATGGTAAATTCTCATCAATATCACGTGGGCATGCTCCAGGCCCTGTAAAAGAATTTCGCCGAGAGCTTTCTAGACACTGCAAGGTGGTGAACATTGATGAGTTCTGTACTTCCTCAGTCTGTTCTTTGTGTGACGGGTGGTTTTATAAGCATCAAAAATTCTGGTCTGTCAGAGTCTGCAAATCAGTCTGTCTGACACATTGGAATCAAGATGTTAATGCTGCCGAACATAAGAAACATTTTTTTGCACACAAACACTTATGGAGAGAGACCTGATCTATTTATAAGGGGAGCTTACTGACCTCTCTGCTGCCATTTTAACTGTGGCAGGATATGTCTAACTGGTGGCAGTAGCAGCAATGATGACTTTCTATGAAGCCACAATTAGCTATAGGGAGGATTTGGATCTTCCTGATTTTGGTGTAATAAGGTTTACCTGTTAATAAGAAAAAAAATTAGGGATAAGATTTTGTTCGTTATAACAAAAATTCGTTATAACGAGGTTTGACGTACATTAAATAAAAAATCTATGCATATATGTATGACAAGAGTAAAATTATGTGATACGGAGAACTTTCAAAAAAAAAACTTGATTAAAAAAATGTTTGGAGCTTTTAAAACGACCATGGTCACCCTTGGTGGTTTATTATGGTGAAGATAGTTGGTTTTTTTTAATATAATTAATATGCACACTCTTTTTGCTCTTTAATTTTTAAATATTTTTTCAATCAAGGAAAAATCCATCAAAGATGAGTAGAACTCGTAAAGCAAATGTACGTAAAAGATTAAAAGCTGTTGATAGAGTAATAAGCGTGTTAGTTAAATCAGGTGTAGAATGTAAAGCATTGGTATGTTCTAAAAAAATAAAACTGTCGCTGTTACTACTATTATTATTATAACTATAATATGCTATGTTATGTGTTATTAAATAGGAAGAACTTAAGAAATTACCAAAAGAATCAAAAATGAAACCAAGAGATAAGTATACAGTTTTTAGCAGAACTTCGAAACATTATAGAAAATCATTTCATAAAGTACCAAAGTTCACAAAGGTTACAATGAGAACATCTCCGCCTGGATTCTAAAAAGTGCTTTTATTTTAATAAAAATAATTTTTAATTCTTGATAAAAAATGGGGTTTGATTTCTTGATAGAGATTGTTTTTTTGACTTCTTAATTAGAAATGTTTTTTTAATAAAAAATGATTTTTTATTTTATAATTATAACATTTAAATAATAGTATGATTGATCTTATTTTTTAAAAACATTCATCAAAACAACAACAAAGGAATGTTCCTATTGCACTAGAAAACAAGAAATAAGAAAATAAAAAGTTAAAATTTAAATAAAAAGAATCAATTAAAACGATCAATTGGTTATTTACCATCCTAAACAAAGTGAACTAGTATTACTCTGTTTTGGGGGTTGTTGCTGAATGATAATTGGTTGTGGTTGTGGTGTTGGTTGATAGTACCCTAGTAATTAACAAAAAAAAATAATAGTCGCAAATTTTAAATATTTGCAAGATTTGACATATATTTAATATCGTAATAACTTACCTTGTTGTGCTGGAGGTGGTTGAGCATTATAATAACTAGTATTTTGAGGTTGATAATTTGGTGGTGGTGGTGGCGGAGGATAATAATAACCCTGTTGGGGTTGTTGCGAAGGGTATTCTTGATTACTCGTAAATCCTTTATCACTCATTTTTTAATAAATGCAATATTATTTTTTTAAAGAAATATGGAATTTTTTTTTTAATAAATTATTTAAATTATTTAAGAGGATGATGCAAATCCTTTTTTTTTTTTGATTTATATATGAAATGACTTATCTTGGCAAATTCTTTTTAGAATATAATTGTCGTTGTTATTTTTTATAAATATTATTTTGTTTATGAACGTGATTTTAAAAAAGGATAGCCAAGAAAAAAATTTATTTTTAAATTTGGGGAAGTTTACCCAAATTAATCCAATATATTAAGCTTGCCTGGAAGGTGTATTTTTACGGCTAGATCACTGGTGATCAATTAAAATAATTTTCCCGAAATAAAAAAAATTTAGTATTGTTTATAATCAAACAAAATGTCAAAATTCACCACATTCAATTTTCCAGTTTCACCATATGGAAATCTTGATTTCTTTCAAATCGAAGAGTCTTTGGGTAAGTTTGTAACTGTGAAATTAGAAAACGATGAAGTCTTCGAAGGATATTTGTATAATATTGATCCAGTAACTTTTAGTGTATTTTTATTAAAGGTAAAGAAAGGAAAAATAAAAAATTTCACCTTTTTTTTTAGATAATATAAATCTTTTGTTTTTATAAACAGATTAATAAAGAAGATTTGCTAGAAAGTTCAATTCCTTCTAAACACAAAGTTTTGGTCGTAATGCATCACGCCATATCAGATTTTCAAGGTGTGAAATCTTTCTTTAATTTTCCCACGATCTTTATCTTGTATAACAATTAACTTTATTGGTGTAAAAAAAGTGAACGAAAAAGAAAACAGATTATCAAAGGAAATCTTGGATTCGATCGTAACAACTCGAACAGATCATTACGATGTCAATTCAGAATTGATACAGAAAAGAAAAGAAGCCTTGATTAATTTATTTGAATCGGTTAGTGATTTTTAAAAAATCTATGAATATTTTCATGCTTTTTTTGACTTTTTCTCTTTAATTTTCTAAAAAAAAATCATAGCAACGATTACAGATAACATACGATAAAGATGATCCAATAATTCATGTAATGAATAGAGCAAACGTTTTGCCACCATACGTAACATCGTCTATCGAATGTGATAATGAGATTATTCTAGAAAGGATAAAAATCATGATGAAAAATTTACCTTCAATAAATTTTTAAATTTTTTTTAAACAATGTATGTTGTGGCAATATGGAGACACAAAAGAAGGGAGTTTTTCTTTGTGTACTATGAATCCACATTCATTTTAATATATATCACAGATATTTTTTTTTTCTTCTTTCTTTTCAAGCAAAACGCTCAAAAGAAAGATTTGTTTTCATCCTTGATATGAATATCTAGAAAATTGCATGCTGTGATAATTTTTTTCAAAAAAAAAAAGTAAAAATGTTAATCATTTTATTATATATATACAAGATTTTTCTGGTGATCAGATTATCTGATTGATCATCAACTGAAAATGGAATCGAACAGTAATGATTTAAAATCAGCAGCAGCATCTTTAGAGACAAGATCAAAGATTTCAACGCCGTATCGTAAAAACAAAGTTTATGAGAATTGTAAAGTGTACTCGGAAACAGGAGAACTTATGTTTCGTTGTAATAGGTATTTAATATACTCTATAATTAGAATCGTTGTAATTATCGATTAAAAAAATTTTTAACGACTCTCTCTATTTGAAATATGGGTAAAGAAAAAAATGTTTATGGTATTTAACACGTAATTTAGCCAAACAATTATCTAATGATTCTATACAACTTACCTTTACACCTAAGGGATTAGGTTATGCTCAAAAAAAACAAAATGTAGTGGAAGGAAAAGAACAAGATGATAGTGACGGTGATGATGGTGATGACGGTGAAGGTGATGACGGTTTGAATGATTATTATCTTGAGGATAAATTAGATCGTTGTGTTTGTTGTGCTCAAACCGAAAAGTTAACTTTACACCATGTAGGTAGGCAGTAATAACATTCTTTATATTATTAATGATATTATAATTAATATTAATAACAGTTCCAGATATGTACCGTAAACGAATGCCTGAAGTAATCAAATCACATTCGGTAAATAATCATCAAAATATTATCATCGTAATATTATCATCGTGTCCCTTTCATTAATATTTAACTAATTTTGAGGGTGTGTTAATTTAAAGAGTCACGATGTTGTTTTATTGTGTTTTGGATGTCATTCTTCTTATGAAAAACATGTAACACGCTATAAAAAACAAATCGTCAAAGAATTTAATGCACCACCTTTAGAGGTTGATCCTAAAGATAGGATTAGACTTGAAGAAAATATCAAAGTTAAAAAAGCTGCAAATACATTATTAAAAAGATTAAAAGCAATTTCTTACCAAACTGAAATTTCAACAAATGCCAATTTTCTTACTAAAAGGTTTTCTTTTATACCAAAGGAACGAGTAGAGCAATTGGAACAAATCGTATTAGATTGGTATTATGATCAGAATCAAAACAATAATACTCCAGCTTTAATAAATCAAAAAAGTATGAACCAAAATTCACCAATATCAATATCAATTCTTGAAGAAGCAATTTCATTACCAATATATCATCATGATGACCAAAAAATGTTGGATCATGCGCAATTTGTGATAAATGAGTTGTTAAAAGAATATTATTATGTATCAATGAATGATGATGGTAAAGAGGAAGAAATAATTTTTGATGAAACAAAACATGACGATGATGATATTGAATCAAAAAAAAGGATTCGTTGGCCACGTATAGAAATTTTTATAAAAAATTGGCGCCAACATTTTTTGGATTATGCAAATCCAAAATATTTATCTAAAAATTGGAAAGTAAATAATAAAATTTACAATTTTTTATAAAGTTCCTTCCCCGTTAATAATTATTTGGTTAATATATATATATTTATATATATTTACCTAGTAATTAATTAATCAATTAATCAATTAATTTAATCATACAATAGTAATATTACATAAAAATACATATTAGTTTCCCAAACAAATTGAAAATAATGTAAAAAATCGTGTATATAAATATATAATAATTATTAATAATAAACAGTCCTTATCAACAACCTTTAAAAAATTTTTTCCCAAATTGTACATGTAAGTAATTATTTTTATGTCACTCCTAACCTAAATTCAGCATTTGTTTTTTGATGTGAAGCCATCTTTGCCTTTGATATATTATTGTTGTTGTTTAATGATTCTTTTGATGATGACCCTTCATTCCTTATTGATATGGAAACGATATTATTATTTGATGCAGGCAAAGAAGAATTAGAGTTGTTAATTTCAATGTTATTATTATTATTATTATTATTATTATTATTATTATTATTACTATTACTATTATCGTCATTATCACTATTGTTATTTTCGTTGTTATTTTTGCTATTACTTGAATTTATTTCATTGAAAGGATGATTAATGGTACATTTATGAGGTATTGTTTTACGTAGATGTGAAATCTGACTTGTAGATGTTGAACATAGACTTATTTTTAAGTAAGTTAAATTTGGAAGTGTATGCCTTAAATCCATTAGATAATATAATTCTTGTGAATACATCAACTACAACCCCCAAAAAATACAATAATACAAAATGTGATTAATTAATAAATTAAATTAATGATTTCATACATATATGCGTATGTCTATTAAACAAACATACTTACTTGTTCAATGTTTTTATTAAGTAAATAAACAGCATATTCAAATCCATTGCGGTCAACTCCTTTTGAATACAAAGGATATCTAATTAACAAAAAATGAATAAAATAATAGCAATAACAACAATAACAATCATAAATAAAAATTATCATATCAATAACACAGAAAAAAAAGATAAAACAAATTAATTGATTATCGATAATTACGGTGCTCCAAGTTGATTGCTAGAGAAACAACAAAATTCTTTCCAGTGGCAAAAGTTCGATATGAACCAATTGAAAAACCAAATCAATGGTATTATGGGAGTCTCATGTGATACATAATCCCTGAGAGAGTATATGATATGTGATATATATAGATATACACACAATATTTTTTTTTTAATTATGCTAAATACATTTTTCTTTTTTGTTTATAAAATACTTACATCTCTTTATTTGGAAAAATGTAAGAAATATTCAAACAATCAACTTGGAGCAATTTTACTTACTGTCTTGAAGTAATAAGAGAAACTGTTATTGGATCCAAAATTGTGGATCTTGATGACATAGGAGTTATTGGAAATCTTAATGGAGTATCTAGGTAATATGCTAACATTTGAACAAAATGTGCAGCAAATCCAAGTGCTGTAGCAATTTTTTCTTCATCACAACCTAATTCATTAGAATATTAATAATTATTAACATTAAATATATACTTATATATTTATACATCAATTTATATAACTAATTATTTAGTTACCATCAAATACAGAATTTGGAAGTAGTATACCAAATATTTTGTATGAAAATGGCGATATTTCTGGAGCCTAAAAAACCAAAACCAAAATCAATTGAAATCCATGTGTGTATATATATATGTATGTATGTATGTAAATATGTAATGATAAATGTTTATTACATGTTCCAAAGGATATATGTTAGACAAATCAGAAATCAATTCTCGTCGACGAGCAAATAATTGCGTAGAGGTTTCAAATAAAGCTTCGCTAATAAGATCAACCCGATTCAATACGACCTTCTATATAAAAAGCAAAAACATAATTTTCAAACACCAATCTCAAATAAAATTATAACAAAACCAACCGATCTCGTTCCAATATCTTGTAGCTTTCCTCCAAATATTCATTTTCATTCTGATATCGCTTCTTGGCATCCTCTAAAGCAACTCTACGTGAACGAATATTATCACGTAATGACGCTATACGTTTATAATCTTTTTACATTATGAATCAAATAAGCAAATAATAATGCATAAACGTAAATATTTTATATTTTATAGATAAGTAGTGTACCATTGTCTAATTCCTTTTTTTGATTTTCAATTTCTTTTTGATAACTACTAAGTCGTAAGGCACTTGAACCTTTCTCTCTTTGCTATACCAATATTAATAATCATTAGAATGTGAAATTTTCAATTTCTGTTACAATTATAATTAAAGACAAACTTATTATTACTAGGACAAATTTATTTTTTTCTTTTTCCAAAATATCTCCAATATTTGCCATTACTTCATCCCGTGATCTTTGCATATCAATTAAACAATTTTCTATATTGTTTAAGCTTTACTTTTAGAAAATTTTTAAAAAATGTTAATAGATGAAAATAAAAAATAAACTTTATATAAATTTTATAAACTAACCGCATTATGGAATTGTATGTGTAAGATCGTTTCGTCTAATAATTATATGTTACATCATTAATATCTTTTCCATGAAATAACAAAATTTGTATAACATTTATATTACCATTTGAGGTGATGACAAAGTATTACTTTGATTACTTTGACTTGAGTGTCGAACAATCTCCATTTGTCATGGCGTGATTGATTAAACAATTTTTTATTTTTTTATTTTTCGTTTTTTTTGTTATTTTTTAATTAAAAAAAAAAAAAAGAAAATATTTATTGTTGCTTATGTATAAAATAATAATTTGTAATAAACCAAAAAGATGTGTGTATCGTAGTACTAAAACGTCATAATATATATATACAAAAGTCACCACCACTACCACCGAAGAGACCACCTACCTCGGCTACACGAATCCCAACCCAGAACCCCCATGATTGGTTGAAAATAAGGAAATCTTATCTTAAAAAACCCTTTTAGTGTAACCAAAGAGTTTATCTCATTCTGGTAACACAAAATTAAACCCATGCAATTGTTGATTGGCCAATCAAAATCGTGAATTTGATAAACATAAAATAAATGTCATTTTGTCAACAATCATTTCACCAACAATTGTTTCATTAACGAATTTAAGAAATTGGAAGCAATCATGCAAAAACCTTTGAAATAGTCTAATAAATTAATAATTAATTGTATACTCGAAAATGTATTTAAAGGGTTGGTTTTCAACTGGTTGAAGAATAACTCTCTTCCTAACTCTTCTCTTTGACCATATCTCTCGATATAATCAAAATAACCTTAATATAATGAATGTCAACAAAATGGTTGTAAACACAATCAATTGAAGATAAATGATTAAGACAAAACATGAACGATGTATGAAAAAATCAAACAATAAAAACAAAATTTACAACCCAAAAAAATTTTTAATGATATTTTGTAGAAGGTGATAAGATATTACTTTATTGTATGTTTGAACTTTCTTTAATTCCTTATAATTAAAAGCTATTCAGTTGATAATTGAATCAAATACTTGATATGTAATTTCTTTATAAAAAGAGGTTGAATTATGTGCATTTTATTGTTGAATTAGAATTATCTTTAGCTAATAAAACATATATAGTAATAGAAAAGTATAATAAAATTGAAAAAAGTCAAAATCTTGTAAATAAATGGAAGGACACGTAGTTTTAGAGAGAGTTTGTCTTTTGAAGATAAAGGGCATCATCAACACCTTTTTTGTCATCACTATAAAAAATTAATTGGATGGACTTGTTCTTTTCAAAATTGTTGTGTTACAAGGAACATGATTTGAAATTTAAGAAATGTTGAGAAAAAACAAATTGATTTCATCAGCAGTATTATTTAAAAGAACATATGATCACTGTTATAAAAGATTTTTTCATCAGGTTTATTTTTTTATTTTTATTTTTTTGGAATTGATGTACAAATTACCATACACAATTTTCAAAATCTTTTAAAAAGAGCTTTTCTAACAAAATGAAAATAATCCCATTCCAGGTAAATATCAATAAAATTTTTTGATAAAAATCATTTTTACCATATATGTTTGATGGATATTAAATTATTTTTTAGTATTGGATGATAACTATTCTTATTTGGTTATTGATG